GGTTGTTTGCTTAAAAAAGGCTTACAAGGGGGGGGGGGGGTCCAGGGGCACCCCCCACCCCCCCTAGCTAGGCCCCTGGTTGAATTAGGGAATTTAAGAAAACGGCAACGGCAATAGGAACGGGAACGTCGCTGAACAAAACGGTTAATGAGAAGAATAATGGCCGTGCACGTGCGTTATAATTCTTGGTACATTTCTTTGCCATCCTACGAAAAATAACAACGTGAAATGTCCAAATTCTGCGTTTTCTGGAGAACGTGAACCGCGACGGATAATTTTCAAAAGTTATATTTCGAATTTTACGCTGTGTTCCATGATCAGTTTCGAGATAGTTTTGACAAAGAGAAACAATGACTTTAGAGTATCGCGAAATTAGTAGCCATGGAGCAGGCATAATATACATTCATTTTTTAATCGACGTTGTCCCCGCCGTCGCCGTCGTAGTTACTTAAACTCCCTACTTTAACTCCTTTAAGATTTCCCGCGCTTTCAGTGAGAATTACCTTCCGCCTTCCTCCTTCTACCTTACACAGGTGATCCAATGTTTTAGTACCTTATATATCACGTTTAAATTAAGCAATAATTTGATAAGCCTATTTTATTCATAATGTAAGATAAAAAATAACCTTTATTATAATATTTACCAGTGTTTATAGTGTTTAGAGCACAAAGGCTAGTGGGGCCAAGCAAACAACTGAAACAAATGATTCAAATTGAACATTATTGAATCGAAGTTATTAATTTTCTTTGGTTAGATTTCAAGTTTTTTTGTGACTCGACACATTACTCAGCGTTATCACTATCAGTATCAAGTGTACCGGGCCGGTTGGCTCAGTAAAGAGACGCGGGTTCAACTCCTGTTTTTGTTTTAGTTTTGCGCGCCCTCAGTGAACACCAACACCACGCTCTAACCAATCACAACACGCATGCTGTCAATTTAACCAATCAGAACTCGACAGGAAACCTAACGCTAAAGCTAGCCGCCACTTGCCTTACGCGAGTTTCCCGCACCTACTTGTTTTCGCGAGCTCGTAACCGACCACGTTTTCCCACGCTTGGCAACCGTGTGGTGAGGGTGGTAAAGGGGGGTATAGATCACGTTTCACGGAAAATAAAGCAACCCTTTCACAATTCACGAAAAACACAACATTGGCATTTCACGCTTCACGGAAAATAAAAGAGAAAGTTTTGGAAAATCACGGTTCACGGCGACTATGGAAATCACGATTCACGAGGAAAAAGATGGCTATTTCACATTTCACAGGAAATAAAAAGGGCCGACCACGGGTCACGAAAATATACTTTATCACCCTCTTACTTTGTTTCCGGTGTGACGGTCACACAAGGGACTGCGAGATGAGAGTAGATTTGTTCTTTTTCCGAAACCAGAGAACTTTCAACAGGCTTTCAGGATTCTTGTGCACAGTGTACACTCTACGGTATTGAAAGAAAATAAGCAAGTAACTCATTTTCGGAGATGATAATTTAATGGCTCACTTAGCTTGTCGGACGATCTTAGAACGAAGATTTTCTAGGTAGAGCCAGCTCTAAGTTTTAGCTAGGTTTGGCTTACAGTTGGCTGCTCAGTTAGTTTGAATCACTCCCTGTTGTTATAACAGTCAGATGCTTTTACGACTTTACAGTTTAAATTAACAATCATATATTGACATTTTCAGGACGGGACGGTAGAGACGGAAGAGAAGGTCCCGCGGGTCCTCGTGGGATTTCAGGACCAAAAGGTATCTCAAACTAGTAAATGTATGTTACAAGCTTATTCTGCTATTACCAATCTGTAACATGGCTCCTCCGGGCTACTCTTGATCGTTGTCCGTTCAAGAGTCTTGGGAAGAGACTATTCACCTATAGATGTTTCACGATTGGTTTTTCATTCGTTTCATGTTTGTTGGTTTTTATTTACTTTTTTTTTTTTTCAATTTATCACATCTTTACTAAATATCAGTATATAATGAAAGTAAGTCCAGGGAAGCCAACAACGTTTATCTAATTAATAAAAACCCATGATTCTACTTTGCCGAAGTTTGTGTTACAAGCAATAAAACAATACATTATTTGATTGTTTTAAAACAACAGGTGATGTTGGTCGAGCTGGAAGTCCTGGGCCCCAGGGACCTGCCGGCCCTCAAGGAACAATAGGACCAGAAGGACCGGCGCTGTCAGGTGTGAGTTACAACCGCTGGGGACGAACGAACTGCTCAGGAGATGCCATTACGGTGTACACAGGTAAGTTGGGGGAAAATTAAATCATGTACTCAAAGTTAGAATAATGATGTTAAAACCTTACGGAGACCTATAACATTCATTCATGACTGACGAGGGCTAAGAGTTGAAATGGAAAAACCTAATCTACTCCACCATGTTTCTCGGTTAATCGTCAACTTATAAAAATCTTCCTTAGGAAGGTTTCCTTATATAGTGAACCCCTGCGTTTAAAACAGCTCGCCCACAGAGGGGGGATAGGGGGTAGGGAATTGTTTTTTTTTCTGATTTGTCCCAACGGCGCATAGCCAATGACAATTCTTAGACGCATCTTTTAGAGTTTCCTCGTCATTTTGTGCTTCCATCTTTCTCTTACTCGGCCACTCAATCCTCGGTACTGTGTTGCTCGGGTCAGTGTTTGATGCATATCCTTTGGTTTTGCTGTAGGCGCGATGGGCGGTGGATACTACGATCACACCGGTGGTGGCACCAACTACGTCTGTCTAACCAACAATCCTATATATGACAAATACCAGAGTGGGTGGCAGGGTACAGCAGCAATATACGGTACCGAGTACCAAACATCATTTGCAGGCTTTACAAAAGGCGATCTTAGTGAACATGAAGCACCTTGCGCTGTGTGTTACGTCAGATCACGTGGGTCCCAAGTGACGATTCCTGGAACCAACAAGTGTCCTTCAGGTTGGACCAGAGAGTATTATGGGTATCTGATGACCTCTCACTACGACCATGCCCATCCCAGTGAATTTGTGTGCGTTGACGTAGATGCCGAGACTGTGCCAGGAAGTCACAAAGACACAAATGGCGCTTTGTTGTACGTTGTACAGGGAGATTGTGGGCATGCCTTACCTTGCAAACCGTACATTCATGGCTATGAACTAACCTGTGTTGTTTGTACCAAGTAGTCAAGTACTTACCAAAATGTAAAACAACTGTAGCTTAGTCGAGCGGTGAAGGGTTGTTAGCAATTACAAATCAAAATCTTCTCTCTGTGAACCAAACTATAAATGTAACTTGTAAGGCCTGGATCACAACATCGTCATAAAGACAAAACAGCGAGGTCACGCAAACGCAAAGAACGCATCTTTTAATATGATATCTTGTGTCACTAGTGTGAACAACGCGCTGCAAAACAAACTAGCAAGACCATAAGGAGATTAGCATAACGAAATAAGAAAAAAGTATTCTTGCTATGCCTTCTGTTACCAGTAAACCAGGCTGAAGAAGACTTACAGTGATGTAGTTACTTCAGCGAATAATATTGATTTTATCTCAGTTTTATGCAGTTCGAGTCTTAAGCTGAATATCCTCTGTATTAATCTAGACGTAAAACGATTAAAGGATAGTTTAAATGCTGTGTTTAATGTCCAGTTAGTTAACCTTATTTATTACAATAGTTACAAGCGAACTTATTCTCCTATTTTGTCTGATCCACCATACAAGGTATAGGTAATAAGAGACAGACGAGGAACTGACATCTGACCATAAACACCATATATCAAACTACCGTGCTAAATCATCAAGATAGAGAAAAGAGAAACAGAAATTCACTTGACATGTGAGTCTATTCTTTTCCTAGAAAAAAAAAAGTCTGCCTGCAATGTTCCATCGGCAATTTTCTCAAGACATAAAACTCAAACAATATATTACAAGTCAACATAGCATGCAGTTACACATGCCGGCTTCTCATGATTGTCATGGCAAACACGAGCTACCAGAGAGAGAAAGAGGGATACTTCGAATATTACCTTGCCGGAAAGCAACGGCTCAGGAAGCCCAGAGTACAGAAGGAGCTTCCTTTGTCCCTGTGGGCAGAACTGAAATTCAAGTGAGATTTAAGTGACCCCAAACTGTTAGTGCACACGAGTTTAGCATTCAACCCTCAAGCGTATAAGAGAGGGGAGTGGGAAGCGAAGGGGGGCGGGGTGAATACCACATGAGCAACAAGTTCAAAAGTATGTATTATCTTGTAGAGCAAGCCGAGGGCAATCTTCTCAACAGAAAACAATTTTAATATATCTTGCCACATCTAAAACCAAAAGAAGATCTTCAGGTACTCCCCACCCCCTTCTCCCACCGTATGAGTTTGCATGACGTCTTATAGCAAACTAGACTTTAACGACAAAATTCCGAGGGGATGAACATCAATGATCGAATCCTTCACCTCGAGGACAAGCACTCACAGCCACTTCAAGAGTTCCCCAAATCTGAAAAGAGTAACTTTTAAAATAAACATATCTTAGAGACATCAAGGAGTGGTTTCTTGCTTGTCAAATTAACCGGTCATTTCACAATGTTAAAACAGGTGACCTGGCTGATGGACTTGTGCCCTATTCATAGGACAAATCACCAGATGCTACACTTGCTTGATGATAGAATGAAATATTTTATTGAGACATTAGGACGTGAATTGAAAAGAACAAAAGAAAACAGTGGAAAGCACTTTTGTTTAACGATAATATTTTCTTTCCTACGATAAAAACCACAAAGCGATGCTGAGCTCAAGAAACGAGGTAAATATGTCAATCTTTACACTTAATCAAACTTGATTTTGTTAGAATTACAAGTGCTGGCTTTTGAACACATCTTGCAATTATTTTTATTTTTTTAATTCGAAATGAACGGCGTTCGTTCCTACCCTTGAATATTGTTTTAACTGTAAATTGCTTTCTAATTGCAAGACGCTTTTCGCTTGAATCGCCATTTTCTGTGAGTTAAATTTCCTTTTGATTTCAAACTAAGGGAAGCAAATATGGAGAAAGACGGATATAAAGGAAAAATGGACCTAGTACCTCAGGGAACTTAGTGAGGGAAAAGAAGAAGTTTCCTATTATGACCTATTATGAATCATTTGTAATGTAAAGATTGTGTTTATTTGTGTGGCAAAGTGGCTATTTGTGCCGCCTAAACATTAGATCTGGAGCTCCTCATTTAAGATCCATTCATTTACAATGATAATCCACCTGTAGAATTACACAGTCGAATACTTGGCCAATTTCAGTGGTAGTTGTTGTTTGAGACTGGCATTGCCGTATCCGCAAACACTTGCCTCTGAAACAAATCATTGAGCATTATGCGTTATACTACTGAGATCACACATTTTCCTGTTTGTTACCACTAAATTTCACCTTCCTATGCCTTTCAGTGTACCATGTTTGCTGCCATTTTGCTTTTTATCACAGTTATCACCATCCCAGAAAGAGAAGCAGCGAGCGGTAAGTATAATTTTTTTTTTTAGCTATGCACTCTTTAGACCGAAGTGTAACTGGGTGTCGTAAAACTATACCTAAAGTATTCACTCTGCTCAGTCACAGGGGACTCATATGTAATAGACCACTTCCGTATTCTCGGTATTGGACTGGAACTAGTCTACAACTGAAGCTAATGTGGGGAGTCTTCAAACGCAAATGATATTTTAAAGTCTCTCGTTTTAATGATAAATTATTCCCCCGCATTAGCCTCCATTGCAAGGTAGATCCAGTGCAATACCGAGAATACGAAGATGATGTATTAGATGAGGCTGACGTGAAGTGGGAAAAAGTGTGCCAGCGAGTCACGATTGTATGAGATAATGACACGAGTTGTTTAAGCCAATCGTGAAGCGTAGTAATGCAAAACTAAAGCAAATACGAACTACCNAAGCAAATATGGAGAAAGACGGATATAAAGGAAAAATGGACCTAGTACCTCAGGGAACTTAGTGAGGGAAAAGAAGAAGTTTCCTATTATGACCTATTATGAATCATTTGTAATGTAAAGGTAGTGTTTATTTGTGTGGCAAAGTGGCTACTTGTGCCGCCTAAACATTAGATCTGGAGCTCCTCATTTAAGATTCATTCATTTACAATGATAATCTATCTGTTGAAGTACACGGTCGAATCCTTGCCAATTTCAGTAGTAGTTGTTGTTTGATATTGGCATTGCCGTATCCGCAAACACTTGCCTGTGAAACAAATCATTGACCCTTATACGTTATACTAGATCACACATTTTTCTGTTTGTTACCACTAAATTTCACCTTCCTATGCCTTTCAGTGTACCATGTTTGCTGCCATTTTGCTTTTTATCACAGTTATTACCATCCCAGAAAGAGAGGCAGCGAGCGGTAAGTATATATATATTGCAACTGATGAAGGTCTTTGACCGAAACGTTTATTTTTATCTAATTTTTAAACTTTTTTTTAGATTTCTTAGATTTTTTACTGTATATATATATTTTTTTCGCTCGAAGTTGTCCGTCCTCGTTTTCCACAATTGCCTATA